TATTAATTAATTTAATATGCATTATCAACAGTCCATGGCTGCCCTAAAATTAGGTGCAGTGCTAAGTTTCATCTTCAGTACTACTACTACTACTACTACTAGAACTAACAATAATAATAATGGAAAAATGTAAATATGATTTTTTTGAAGAGAGAATATCTAGCTACAGTTACATTTAATCTGTAAACCTGAGCCATATTAAAATAATAATAATACTACAAATAATACTAAAATAATAATGACACTACAGAGAGAACATCTAGCTACAGAGTTGCATTTAATCTGTAGTCCCTAAACTGGATAAAAAAATAAAAATAATTAAATAATAATAATAATAATAATAATAATCCATTTAAAAAGTGTCATTGAAAATATATATTTTTTAATTCAGAGAATTCAGAGATTTTTAATTCAGAGATAATTCTGAGAAAATATTAATACCGTAATGTGAAGTAAAACATCAGGATACTTTCATATTGATTTGGACCTGAACATGCATATGCAGTTTTAGATCAAACGCGCCATAGTATGTATTTCCCATGCTCTGGCTAGTGGGTGACAGGCTTTGGGAAACAGAGGCCATTTGTAGGTTTTAAGGAAGCCTCTGTGGCTGAGACCTAGAGTCACATTTAAAGAGGAAGTAGACTAGAAACGGATACAACATCAAACTCAACCACTGACCAGGAAGCTTCAGTTCTTTTAATACATTAAAAATCTCAACACAGATGAGCCTCGTCAACTGGAAGCTGGTAGTAGTTCTACTCATGCAGAAAAAAATGTAGTTTGACCACAAATGTTGTGTCCTTGCTGTGAATTACGGAGCATGTGATATAATCATATCAGATGGGATGCACATATGGGATCTCCCTCAGACAGCTGCACATGCTGTGAGGTTAATCACAGTACCGCGGGCGTCACGCAATCACTAGTCAATGATCCTAAAAGTTTGGTTTAATTCTCTGTCCTGAGTAGGATGTGAGGAGCAAGAGCTTAACCATTCTCTGAGTTGACTGTCTCATATGAAGAGCAGGAAATTACAGCCTTGTTTACGCTCTGAATGAGGCATTCTGGGAGGTGGGGGGAGGAGGAAGTTGGGTAAGATGCCAGAAGCCAAGTCTGAAGATAACAGCGAGCAGCAGGCCGGCTTTACATCCTACAGCCACCCCGGGAGACGTACGGCATGAACAGCCCTTCTGTGCTGACCAACAGGCTTCTGGCACAGAGGATCTGTCTCACTTCAGCGAGACCGCGGGAGTATCATTTACCCTCGCTCTCTCAAAAACACCCACATATGTCACTTTATTTGGTTACTGTGTAGGGAACCACTACCTTTGTGAAGCTGAAATGTTTCTGGCGTTTTTTACAGTGTGTTTGATGATGTTGTTGTATTATTTTAGGCAACAGTGCATGCTGGGTGAGATCAATAGCAATTTCATCACTGTCTCCATGGGTTTGGCTTGACTGGAACAATGTGTCCTAACCAGACGGGATGAGATAAAGAGAAAACGGCGATCTCTTCCATGTAAATCTGTTTTTATCGTAGCCAGCCATGACTGAGACAAGGGTTAAGCAAAAGAGATAAAATGGGATTATTTTCAGCTACTTCTATTTCTATTCCTGCCAGGGTTATGTGCCATTCAGAACTGAATGGATGGATGGATGTAATATTTAATTTATACATATAGCCATATTTTATTGTATTTAATACATTTCACAGCATATTTTTAGTGTTGTTATTGTTAAAACTAGTGCTGGGCAACGATTAATCGCATCCAAAATAAAAGTTTGTGTTTATATAATATATGTGTGTGTGCTGTGTATATTTGTTATGTATATATAAATACACACACATGCATGTATATATTTAAGAAAAATATGTTATGTTTATATATTAAATATATTTATATATAAATTATATGAATATAAATATATACATGTAAATACATGTCAATATTTTCAAAATATATACTGTATGTGTGTATATCTCTATATATACATAATAAATATACACAGCACACACACATATATTATATAAACACAAACTTTTATTTTGGATGCAATTAATCGTTGCCCAGAACTAGCTAAAACTATTGAGTAGTAGCTTTTGTTAAATGAAATAAAGCTGAAATGAAACAAAATTTGCAAAAAATAAATAAATCTAATTTAAAATATTGATAAATATTATTATATAAATAATACTAAAATAACACTACACAATTTTAAATTTAAAGACCAAGGTGGAATAACATTACATTTCCCAGATTACCAGTTGAATTTCACAAAATGATAATTTAGGTGGTAAATTCCACTTCCAATTCTAATACAGCTTTCTGTAAGGTGTCACCAGTTAAATTCAACTTCAACGTATGAATTGAAAAATAGCCAGTTCTTAAATTCTGAATTTTGGCCAACCCTGATTTCTGCAGTGTGACCCTGGGCTGCTCCACCCACTGTGAAATATAACATACTACCATATATATAAAATATTTTCGGATTGGCGTTATTGTGTCACGTTGCACAGCAGTTTCTGTGTGGACTGACACATTGCTTGCTGTTGGAAACCTATTTATTCTTCCGGTAGCAGTGCAGAGAGTCACAGCCGTACCTGTTTGCGTGCCTGGCTGAGTCCATGCAGTCTCTGCTGTAGCTCGCTTCTGTAGTTTTGGGCTGCTTCAATGCTCTCCTTTGCCTCCTGCAGCAACGTCTCTGCCTCTATTGACATCCTTGCTGACCTCTGCAAAAGCACAAATATCAAGGTAAAGTAAAGTGTAGGAAAACATTTCCACTGATAGAGATAACCTTTACTTTGACTGGATTTATCATTTATGGGATTAGAAAGCATTTGAGAGAAAGGCTGAAACGAAAACACGCCCATTTCGGAAAATGTCTCGCTAACAAAGCTAAAATAATAATAACAGGAGTATGAAATTCCACAAAGGCCAAAAAACAGAGGCTGTTCTTCATGCTCATAAACAACTGGTCGGGAAATGTCACGCCCCTTACCATAGCCGCCTGCGAGCTTCAGTGTAAATATTGCATCAATATCAAATCAATTTGAGCATGATTTAAACCCGGATGATTGTAACCACTATTAAGTTTGTCTGCCTTGGGGAAACTAGCATGTCTCCGACATAGTGATAACACTCGTTGCCTTCTCTAGTGCAGCTCAACCAGGTCTCGTCCCATTCGTCGATATTTGTGATATCACAAATCCCGGAAAATATGCGTTGTAGTCCAAATGAGTCGTTCGTTGTAGTTTTTGAAAAGTGATTTCTGTTAAATAAAATATCTCGTTTTGAAGTGGACTTTGAGCTTTGTAACTTTGCAGATCTTTTTTATGCTCAAACAGCAACATTACAGACTAACTAATGTTGAAAAAGTGAAAAAGCTTAATAGGACCCCTTTAACAGCAACTTTATGAAACCATCAGGCCATCGTTTCCATGTCATGTGGATGTGAGGAAGCGTGTTTTGAATCATAACAACGCATTCACAGCCTTATCTGTTGAAGAGGATGATGCAGTCGAGTATAGTTATGACTAAAAGGCTCAGACACTATAACCTTAAGAAACCACATCCATGTCAACTGTGCAAAATCACAGGAGTCATGGAAATGAATCACAAGACCTGATGAGATGTGTGTGCTATAAACTCACACTACTAAATTGAAGCAGTGAGTCAAAGAGCAGCACAACAGTGTGAGAGCCACAGTTTTTGATAGGATGACATTAATCTGTGTGGCACTCGACAAACTGCTGTGCCTGCTGTGTTTGTGCTAGTTCAGGTTTAGATAACAAATGTGTGAACAACACAGAAATGATACACAGATCTATTCTGATAGGGTCTAGAACAACAGAGAACAAAACCAATGCTAAAAGTCAATATTAAAATGCAACTAAGCATACATGCTTTTAAAATAATATGTAAAATATAGCCTTTCCATGTTAACATCAAAAGGCTATGCGTCCAAACAAACTTTACGGTATTTTGGTGCAAATTCATATGTCACCGGCAAATATGGCTAATAATTCTTTAAAAATATTTTACCTAGTGTTTGCTCTGTCACACCAAGGACGATAACGAACCACAACTATAACACAACTATAATGATAAAACACATACAGTTTCAGAAAAAAAGGTACAAAAGCTGTCACTGGGGCAGTACCTTTTCAAAAGGTACACGTTTGTACCTAAAGGGTTGATGCTGGCAACTTAAAGGTACATATTAGCACCTAAAAGGTACAAAAGTGTACCTTTTGAAAAGGTATCGCCCCAGTGACAGCTTTTGTACCTTTTTTTTTCTGAGTGTATGATCAATGTTTTTAAAAAAATTTTTGAACAATTTTTCCATCTAATGAATCAGAAGCTTGAGCATTTAAAGAGGCAGACATAACTGCAGCACACGCTTATAATAAACACAACGTTGTCATGCTTTGGTGTGGATGCTAATATATATCATTTGTTATAGCCTAGCTGTTATTCTTGGTCTGAATAGGTCTTTAGGCTGGGTAAATCACATTTCTGCTGTTGTTTCTGCATTTAAGAGGTTCATTTTCTGATTTAGCAAACTCAGCTAATAATTTTGCAGCTCGTGCTAATATTAATAAGTTAACATTTTTATTCACTCTTGTACAATAAATAAATCTACTATTTTGGGTCACCACTTGATGTAAAATCTGGATCTTGAAGCAAAAACATATTTGCATTAAAAAGTATTATGTTAATAAACAGCTCTCAGGTCTTTACTGATCAGTGGATCTGTTTGAAGGCTAGCATTCTACAATGAAACCACTTCCGTTTAAGATGTAGTGAAAGCAACTGCACTTTCCTTATATGTGCCCATGTGGCTTAAATTCACAAGCATGACTGAACCTACTCATAGACACTACCCTGAACTAAAACTTCAACTCAACATCTGTACAATAGTGCCTGTGTAACACTGGCGTCATTGTGCAGGAGAGAACAGCTGCCTATTTGTTTATGCGTGTAAGTGAACACAAATACCGGACAGGTGGATTGGCACAAGCTATTCAGTTTACCTTTGTTTAACACAAAGATGCTGACCTTAGTGCACCAGAGTAGAGAATGAACCTGTGCTTAATTCTCAAAAACACCCTTTCATCTATACACCTGTGAGAGAGAAACCTAAATAACAAAATGTGACCTGCACCAACAAGCCTGCAAGTTTCCACAATCATCTACCTTATGATCAATGCCTAAAAAATGTTATGAGTTGCAGCAGGGGCATATTTATAACATTTTGACATTTCATAATCAAGGCAAAGGGAGGGGTTCTCCAAAATCACAGTCTAATCCTCTGATTTAGCAGCAGGGATCTCATCCAGACTGGGGTATGTAATCTAGGCAAAGAGCATTAAGACAAGCAATTACTTTATCTATTGCTCTTCCAGAATCCTTTCCCACAAGTGAATTCATCAGGGAGAACAGCAGAGGACTGGCTAACTGTCAGAGGGACACGAATGACCTAGATTCATAGGCAAAAAAAAAATCTGCTGCCAAAAGACAATGTTGGGAATTCCAGTGTGAGATGTCTCTGTGTCCTGCTTCACAATCTGTGACCGTTCACTGATAATGGCCATGGTTTAAAGGGCCCTTCTATTAAGATGAAACACATAAGATGCATTTAAACAAACAAAAGTGTTTATAAACTATCAGAGGTCTTTTGCATTCTGCTGCCCATCAGCTTTACAGTTATGGTCTTACATAAAAACATCAATTCCTCTTTTGGTCCAATCCAAGCATAACAGAAGAGTTATGTAAAGTGCAGTAATTCTCTATGGGCCATACTGATGCATCGTGCACACTCGACATGTTTATACATGTCCAAAACAGTAGAAATGAAAGGCAGATGAGAGAAGAGCAGTGCACATATTTAAATATTAAATATCAATATCAGTTATATAAAAAAATCAACTAAAACCTGTAACAATTATTTTCAAACTCAAAAAGCAGCAGTTCGTGGGGCTCTTCTATCGCCACACCAACATTCATCACTTTAAACTAATCAGTTTTACAGTAAGCTCTTCAAACCGCTTCACCCATAAACCTGCTCACGAATAGACAGCATCGCTAACTTAGCACTGAAACAAAAACACGAGCTATTATTAAGCGATTTTTTGCTGTTACCTTATGCGATCCTGTCTTGTGTCATATTAACTTCTGCCGCGGACTTCCGCCATTGACGCCCTGGCAGCAACAGTAAAGAGCTCGAGGCACATATTTTCACTTTGATACAAACCTGTCATCCAATCAGATGCCGCATTGCTGTGTTTTCCTCCTGTTTGCTGTCAGTTCTAGCCAATCAGATGATTAAACCTCACTTAACCCCGCCCTATCTTTTGTTAAAAACCCAAAGCGCACCAGGGCGTCAGCCTAGAGGTCCTTTGGCGTCAAACAACAAGTGAAGGTAACTTTGTGTTGCTCACAAAATAAGAGCTGTTACTTACACAGATGTTTATTGGTTGTGAACAACAGTATCAAATCCCAAGACATTCAGAACGAACATTTTACAACCAACGTTGTCACAATGCGGAATACAAAACTTACTGTGAATATGAGAGAAGACTCTTTAGCTACTGTTTAGATTATAGTGCCTAGTTATTGTGTTATTTCTCATGCAAAATATAGGCTGCTATCTAGAGTTTCGTACGCAAAACTACCATTTACATTTTTTTTTTAAATATTACTTTTATATTTTCTTTATTTAATATAGCCTATTAAATAAATAATATATAAGATTTGGAATCTTGTGAAAAATTATATTGCTGACGTGAAAAGAGAGCAAGTCGAAATGGTTGGCATGTAGGCTATGTGAATATGTAATTATTATTCATTCATGTGGGGTTTTCAGTGGCTGTTTAATGTTAGAGTAAAGTTGGATGGCTACAATCAGGTTATGCATTTACTGTGCTGGTGTTGAATATGTTCACTGTTGAACAGTTTTGTAGCACCAGAGGTTTAGTAGCTGCTTTGTGTGGGCAATGAAAGCCAATTATACATACCGTGTTATTATGTGATGACTCATTAAATGCATGGTATGTTATGATATGAACTTTTAAAGCTTGAAATAACTCTGCAATGCCAAAGTACTTGTATAAATACAAAGGCCTTTTATCACAGCGTTTTTGCCTCTAAATTAAATTCTTATAGGGTTCAGAAGGAGCTGCTTATCTAATCTTCTAATTAACCTTTGGATATAAGCTGCTGCTTGCCTCACTTTAGCAACAGTCCTTCTGGCATGTCTCCTCCTCCCCACCTCCATCCTCACTCCTTTAAGATTTCTTTCTGCCCTATATACAGTAGCTATCTTCATCCATTTAGTAGTCTCATAGGGAGTAAATTGGAGCTTGAGTTGAGCCTTATCCTTGAGCTCCTCCTTTGTGTACAGCAAGTCAAATACCCTTTACCAGTTATGAAGTAACATGAACATCATATTTATTCTTTAGGCAAATGTAAATGATCACTCCTGTGCATTTCACTTACAGCCTACATGACTAACAGTGCTTGATGCTGGGATATTGCTCCTAAATATTTCCTCTTGCAAAGGTGGCTGTGAGAAAACATATCTTATAGTTTAACCATTTATTAGATTATAGGAATTAAGCACTCAAGGTCTTAATTACTATTATTTAAATTTTTGCAAAAAAACAAAAAAAAATGTATGACTCCTAAAGGCTTTCAGAACTGTCAGAAAATGGTGAGACCACATGAAATATGATATTGTCACGTTTCATTAGAGTTGAGTACAGTGTCTTTAGAGAGGGTGGTAGCCACAAGAGGCCTGTCTCCACCCATTCACTGCTTTCTCTGCAAAAAAAATGGACAGCTGAATTGTAATGTGCTCAGTAAACACTAGAGGTCTGCAAGAGTGATATGGCATCTTAGAACTGATTTTCTATTATGTAACACTGGATGGCGCTGGATCACAGTCAGATGTTGTACAATATGTTGCACAGGGTCAGTAATGTCTGGGTGAAGGGTGTGCAGGTATTAATGATGGTGATGATTAGGGCAAATTAGTCATTAGTATGTCATCATTTGAAATTCAAAGTATTTTTACACAATAAAATGACAAAGGGATAGTTCAATTGTCAACATTTACTCTCTCTCACATCACCTATATGACTTTTGCTTTTGTGAAACAAAAAAAGAAGATATTTTGAGAAATATCTCAATTTTTTTTTCTGAGGTGGTAAATTTAGTGTTAAGTAGCTGTGAATACAACATGACAGTCGTGACTGGATTCTGCTCTGAAAGAGGGTCATTGTGCTTTGACTTGGATATAAGACTCTGAAAGAAACCCCATGTAGTTAAGAAAATAACATTCAGGCATTCAGGGAACAGTTTTGTTATGCAGGCTTCATGCAGCCCAGCGCTTTTTGTACCCTACTTTGTAATCTTCAGGCTCCTTCAAACTGAAGAACTGACAGCATTTGCTGGATTTGAGAGGTAAGAAAAACAAAACTGCACGTGTTATTTTATGTACTTTTTAACTTCTAAGAAAAGCAGAACCAAGAAAAATGCCATGAATCATAGCATCCTAGACAGTGCAGGTCTGAAATGCTTAATCTTGCTCTTGGAAATGTACTTTCCAACATCCATGGAGATAAATTGGCAAAATTCATTTAGACTAACTAGTATGTAGCCTATTTTATGGTACTAGTAGTTTTTTGTTTGCTTGTTTGTTTGTTTTATTACATGAATCAAGTGATTAATCCAATAGTGGCAAATACATTTTAATATTTTTTTATTAACTAAATTACTCACAACTCATTAGATACTACTTAACCCAGTAGAGACGTTAAACTAATCACTAACAACTAGTATCAATTGTTGTTAGTAACATTTCTTATGTGATTTATGTGCTTTATGCACATGTAATGACTAGCAAATGGCTACTTTATTGTGACATTTTGTTAATATTTGTTACTAGTGACAATTTACCAATATTTGAAAATGGAATAAATACTTGCATTATTGCACTAATAACTATTAGCGACTACTTAATTAGAGGCTACTGGTGACTACTGGATTATTTACAAATGAAAAAGAATTACTTGTTGCATAAAACTACATATAGCCTACTAGTTCGTTTCAAGGACTAAAGTTAAACGGGTTTCCTTATAGTGCCCAGGTGAGTTACGTTTTTGTCCTGGCTGGTGCAATCCACTTTTGGCACGTCGGTGTAATGTACAAAACAAGATCGTTACAAAGTTTCTAGTGCCAGCTTCAGAACAAGGCAGATTTCATCAGCATGTGTTATGATACATACAGCAGTGCATAAACGCATGTGGCTGTCAGCACTGGAATAGGAGGTGGGGGGTGTTCCTACAATTTGTGACCGCCCTCTGGATGAAGCGGAGCCATTTACCACAGCAATGTCAGCCCAATCCAAGGCTGGGGAAATAAATGCACATTGCACGCTCCTTGTATAGACCCATCGCAGCACAGAAAATAACGGTGCGAGTACTACGGAGCGATGGCACCGCCGACTGATGCGTCTCCAGCACAGCCTCACGGATCCCAGGAAAAACCGCTCTTGGGAATTTTAAAGACACATTGATTTTGCATTTTCGAATGCATCGCACCAGATCCGCTCACGCCACCAAAACGTGTTTGGAGCTGGTTTATCAGATGATGGTTTTCTAGAACAGACTGTTCAGTTTTGGTCATCGCAACGCAGACTGAAGATCCGATCCATCACCGATGCGTTAAGTCCGTCACCGTGGTGCTTAAATTACCCTCTAGACACCGGAATACGAACATCTGTGATTCGCAGGATCCAGCTGCACCAGCTCTATAGTATTCCAGCATCCTTCCGCCAGTGTGCATCATCATCATCATCATCATCGCGCCCTGCAGCTCCATCGCAAGAGGGAGGATCCGCAGAGGAGCTCTCTGGGCAACACTACACACACGTTCAGAGGATGCTTTGGATGTAAAATAAATAACGATGGGGAAAGATCAGGAATTACTGCAAGCGGTGAAGACTGAGGACCTGATGACGGTGCAGAAGCTCCTGCAGAGGCCCAAACCTGGGAAAGCAAGTAGGTTTTGCTTGATTAAAAAAAGCATTTACGTTATTGCTTGCCATGTTGTTATATGGCTGATAGAGAGAGGCAAGAGAGATCGTGAGTAGTTGGATCTACTTTCAGATGAGAAGGCAAACACTTGCCCTACCCTTTAATTATGGCAAGAGCTGTTTAGATTTCACTCAAGCTGTTTGGAAATAGAAAATTATGTTGTGTTTTGGGTGCTGATGTCCTCATCAAGCTTCTTCTAGCGTTACCATCAAGGTCAGTCATCTTGGTGCACATCTTGGTTTTGGTGGTCCAGAGTCAGACCAGTATGGAAATTCATTACTGGACTGAGCTGGTCTTTTCAGCAGGAGAGAGGGTTCCCAATGTGATTATGGAACACAACCTCCTGATGAACATCACATCTGCTTGAATTCACGGTTATCAATGATGCCCCCCCCAAGTTATTCACTTGATTTGCAATGTGCAAGTTATTCTGATGTTTTCACCGTCGAAGAGGGACGTTTTGGATGTTAATGAGTGCTGTTTGTGCATGAGAGTTATATGAACATTAATGAGCTTGTTTTGGAAATGAATGTCTTTCAAGAGGCAGAAAATTCTAGACACAGCTGTCTGGTAAACATGAAATATTTTTGTAGTTGAGAAATGGAAAAAAAACTAAACAACACAATTCCCCAGTGAGACCCTGATTTGCTTGGCAGTTTCATATTTTCAGTTGAAAAGCAAGCGTGAACATTCATATGCCCACCTGGATTGAGTTTCTCATTGATGTTCTGCTTTGAAAACCACAAACTGGGGTGGCTGCATCTCAGAATGCATTGTGCTGGTCTGCTTTCTATCTCCTCCTCCACCACATCTGTGACATTATCAACAGCGTCTCACACAACAGCTCGACTGAGATTTCTTTGTCTTACATGCCTGTCTGTGCCGAGCGTGTTCGGATTAGAATAACCCCGGGGGCTCAAGGAAGAGAGCCACGGCCGTCACTCCAGTGTGGCAGCAGCACACTCCTGCTCGGCTAAACACTGCCCCCTGTAATGATGGGGTGAACGAGAATGAGGTGCATCCACATCACTGCACTTTCACAATAGGAGAGAGAGGAACGAGCTGCCAGTGAGCTTCATCACTTGGCTTCGTGCCACCGAAGCAACACGTACATTTATGCTGT